CTAGCGTTTGAATGACTTTTTTAGATATATCATGCAAGCATCACTATTTTGTTCTAGCGTTTGAATGACTTTTTTTTTGTTTTTTTGAGAAAGAGGATTAAGTACGGATAGAAATTATGCCATAGTACAGTAATGAAGAGTTGTGTGATATGTGATGAGTTATGCTAATTGTTATCATAATACTAAATTGCAGTGGAGTTTTGATCTGCTTCCCAAACCTTTGTAATCAATCCTGATATAATACTTATTGGAGGCTTAAACAAATTCAAAAAGCTCTAACTTTATGTTACTAAAGTGGACTGGGAATGCACAAGTGATGTGTAGTCGTATTCTTGTTTATTTTGAAATTGATCATCATGCTGTCATATGAACAATAAGTTCGAGACTTAGGCTTGTATTCTGTAGCATTTTGGGAAATATTTTTACAAAACGACTACCATCAGAGCCACATTCATCGACTGCAGGAATAATATTATCAACATCTTCAAGATTTCTCCATTTACACAACCCAGTAGTCAGGAAGATGTTCAATTCCTCTCATGTGAACAGTATGCTGTCACATGAACAATAAGCTCAGGCTTATAATCTATAGCATTATGAAAAACATTTCTACAAAATAACTGGCATCCGTACCATATTCATTAATTACAGGGATTATATTATCTACATCTTCAAGATATCTGCATTTACACAATCCAGTAGTCAGGAAGATTTTCAATTCCTTTTTTTCCTGAGAAATATGTTTTAGAATTTACTCAAGAGAGTTTCATTACTTGTCTAAATGAGCAAAATTAGAGTGATAAAAATTTATTTTATTGTAAGGTGTGCCATTGTTGGCAGTTCTTTCATGAAAATGTGGTGTGATATTTTTTGTGATAACTTTGCTGATTCGTCTTATACTAATACAATCGTGTGCTGACTCACAACCAATTCCTCCACCTTATTTCCAGCAGTCTTATTTCAGAGTTTATGAGTGACATATATAGTTGGAACCAAATCTCACTGATGTTCAGGAGTAGGAAGATATTCAGGAGAATAAAAAATTTCCAGACTGATGGATTGGTTCAAGAATGCCAATGGAGTGATTGTCGAGATCTCCTGATCTGCCTCTTGGATTTGTATCTGTGCATCTGCCCATGTAACAATGATCGCAATACAACTTTAAAAAAATCCTAGGACATCTTTGTGGAAGAGTTTGTAAAACTTGTAGTAGTAACTTCATTTTGAATTATCTTCATTTTGAATGAGTGAGTATCTAGAAGTGTTTAGCAATGAATATAGCTATACATTTCTTTTAATGATGGGCATTTTGAGTGGGCATTGTAATCAGAATATTAAATAAAATTTCATTTAAATATAATTGTGCTTTAAATGTAATTAACTTTACTTTATTTATATATTGCATGAAAGATTGCAGTTTATATTAATGTAAGATTTTAGATTCATTACCTGGGAACAAAACAATAAGTGTTGGTTTTTGTGCTTGTGATTGTTGTATTACTAAGAAATAAAAAAAATATCAGCTTAGTAAACCTATCAAAACACAAATAACAGTTTAAACTATGTATTTCAAAAAATGTTTTTGCATATAAACAACTATTTATATATGTTAGCATGAAAATTCGAATCCAGCAGTTTAGACTTGCAATATCTCAACAAGCATTTTTGTATATAAAAACCATTGAAAATTGGAAACTTACTGTCATCTAAAAAAGGAAATGTAAATATGTTTAATGAAAAATTTTCTGCTATTGCGTAGAAAATTTTTGCATATAAATTAAAAAAATAATCGTGAAATGAAAATATTTCACTGATAGAATTCAATGGTAATGCAGTTTGTCACTGTGTTGCAGGACAATAAATATATACAGCAGTAAAATGTTTGCCTCATCTCTTCTCATAGCTTTGATGTGTATATATATTCTTGGAGTGAAAAATTGATATATTTTTCAAAAAGTAATAAAAAGTATTGTGACTGAAAGTAATAGTATGTAAAATAGTGTGAAATGGTGCAAAACGTAAAATATTTTAAGATTCTTAGAGTTTGCTTGCACTCAGAAATGTGTTTACCATAAACTTAAATTAATCTGTTGGTCTTGGGTTATTATTATTTGACACTATTATTAGTAGGGTTGCTGTACTCACATATTTATTGGCATCTAAAATACTGAGATTGCATCAAACTGGGAAAGAAACGGGAGAAGTGGTGACATACATAATAAGAGTAATAATAAATAAATAACTAAATTTCTGAGTTTTTAATATATTATTTGCTGTTAATTGTGGTGATTATTATATAATTTTATTTAAAAAACAAAACATTAGTAGTAGTAGTATTTTTCTTAGCAGATGTGAAAGACCTGAATAGGATAAATCCATCATGAATATCAATGATCACCATATAGTTAGTCGTATTTTTCAAGACAACCCCTTTCATAGAAGGCCAAGGTGATGTGGAACTATGTGTTGTTTTTAGAAAAGACTTTAAGTTCATTCTGTGTAAGCATAAAGTCACTGTTTATGGTGAAGGAACTGCTAAAGTGTGAACAGAAAAAATATTAAAATTTACGAAACACATGGATTTATAAATTTTCTGTGTGCGAGCTTCCTTTGAAGCACTCAATATCCAAATGAAAGCTGAAATCCTGCCATTTGTGTTGCTTCAGGTCCATGTGCAGTTTCACTGACTATTTGAATAGCACATCCTGAGATTTGACTCTAGCAGATCGTAAGGTTAGAATAGTATACAGACAGCATCCTTTGGACATAGCTTTATATGGGGAAGGGGGCTACTGTCACATTAGTGTAAATTTGTTGATATTGGTGGCCTTTTCTAAAATGGTGTCCACTGGCTTTTGTGTGACTGATTATTCCAGAAATTAGACAGATGTTTGTTTAGATAATTTCCAGCAAAAAAACTTCATACCAATAACCTTTATTATTCTGTGCCATAAATAATTATTATACCCATTCTGTTGAATGGTTTTATTGTGTTTGGATGATCTGATAGAATTGCCAAGAATAGTGTTAACCAGATGGTGACTTAAATCTGTAACATAGTAATGTTATTTAATTTATTTTTTGTCACTTGAGTCATTGAAGTAGCAATTTTTGTAGAATCTTATAAGAATACTTTATGAGAGACAAGCTATGTAAAATATACTGACCACACACTGGAAAGCTAATTTCTGAATGAAATAATTGATTTCAAAGTTTAAAAGATTTCACTCTTATGTAGGAATTTTTAGTAACCAATTTAAGTATAGTATAGATTTTTAACAGAAGAGCTGCAGTTAATCATGCATTTATTTGAGTAAGATGAAGTACTCATTGCAACCAAGAAAAAATGGATCTAATTTTTGAAATTAGTACCTCAAGTACAGTATTTTTTTGGGGGGTGGGGTGAGAAAGTGTGCTCTTAAACAATGTTTGGTATTTGTTAATAATGTAATTTCAAAATAGATAATTACAAGTTTTATTAATTTCTATATTAGCAGTATAATTTGTGAGACCTTTTTTTATTATGAGCTTTATTACACCGATATCTACCCAGGATTACAGATGAGAAAGAGAAGTGGATCTTTAAATATTTAGTAAGACATACTGACAGATTCCATTGTTTGCATTAAAAGTCATACAATTATTTAAAATATGGTTCTTTTACATATTATAAATAAAGATGTAGTCAGTCAATATCATCTGAATAAAAGTATATTTAATTTTAAAAAGCAGTTATAAAAATATCTTCATCTGGGTTTCTTTTCTGAATGGTGACTGACTGTATAGCTCTTGATCAATTTTAATTACCATTATACATAGAATTTAATTATCAGTGATAAGGTGTACAAATACAAGGGCTAAAAGATAGCTCAGCCTTCCCATTGTCTGAAATGTGATCTGCACCACTAAGAGACCTAGCCCAAAAAGGAAAAAAGAGCCTCATATTGTGATACCTTCTCCTAACACATTCATTGTTGGCAATTATGTTAGTGACTATTATTGCCCCAATATTTGTCAAATCTATATTATCTCTGAGAATGCAGGTCGGTGAAATGGGATTTTATCACTCTGCAGAATATAATTTTACTGCTACACAGTTAGTTATTCATGATATTTACAATGCTTATTTTGGTTCATTGCATTTGTGTCCCTGAACACATTCTTGTATGTAGATAGCTGGCCATTAAAACTTATAAATTAAAATTTTTATTTAACTATATCGATCGGTGTCCTGATTTTATATTTTGAGAAATTTTGGAATTCCTTAGTGAGTTCAGCTACCAAATGTAATCAAAAAATATCTGCATGTGATTTGAATTAATTTTTCACTTAGCATTTGCACTGTTGTTATTGATATTCACTTGGCAGTATCATAGTTTATGACTAAAGCCGCTATACCATGACAGAAATTTCTTTTATTGATTTATTGAAAAGGAGGCATTATTATATTATTAAAATTCATTGAGCTACGTTTAGGAACATGATTTTTTGGCAAAGGTTTTCATTATTTTAATAAACTTCTTGCCACTTTAGTTAAATACGTGTATTTCTTATTACCATCATTAATTAATGTGAAGATGGCTTGCTTTCACTGTAAGCTGTTATTAATTAGAATTTAATAGATATGTATAAATGCAATAAATTTAAAATTTAGATTAAAGCATGTAGTTTTATCAGAAATTAATATATTCTTGTGCTGTAACTTAATAGTGATCTTTAGGTAGATATTTCTGGTGAAAATTAAATTTCAGAAATTATTGTTTTTATTTTTATAATTTTTATATGTAAAATCTTTATATACTTGATCTATTCATGAGAAATTGTTTGCTTGCTATTTATAACAAAAAGATTTTTGGTATTAACAGTTCTGTTTTAATTGTATAAGATTTAAAAGTTTAAATATGTTTTTGTTAGGCAATTATATCTTATTATAGTTTAATTACTAAAATGTCAAGATTTTCTTTTCTTTTGTTACAATTCTAATTAATATTCTCATAAAGGAGCAAAAGAACTTGAAAGCTGTATCAGAAAATGAGGAGAATTCTGACATTTCGTCTGGCTATGATCATATAAAAGACATAACACATTATTTGAAATTTATTGAAAAAAATAAGTTGATTTCTAATGACACAGCTGAAATGGTCCTAAAAGATCTGAATAAAGCTATCAAAGGGAAATTTCCAGGTGTGTATCTTTTTCATATCTCTGAAATAAAACTTGTAATTCCCTATTGTGATAGTACACGATTAATCATTTTGTTTCATTGACTTTTTCAGTATGTGTCTTATTGCATGTATAATGTAGTTATTTTCTTTTAACATATGAATATAACCTATTATGCAACAACATTAATTTTTTCATAGCATAATTTCAAAGCTACAGTTCTTTAGAATTCAGACAAAAGTTCCGTGAAATTATAAATAAAACCTTGATTTTACATATATAATTTATAAATATTACAATTTATAAATTGTAATTAATAAATATTTATTACCTGAAATTACAAAGAATTTTTTCCCCTAGAAAATACATTTAAGAGGCAAAACAAGCAGTTAGTCAATAATTTTATTAACATGCGAGCAATTAAGAAGTCAAAATGCTAAAGAAATTTACATGTGTGTTTTTTTATAAATAATTATTCATAATGATATGTAATAATATTTTTTAAATGCATTAAATATATATTCCTCATACAGTAGTTTCAGTTTGTATGCAAAGCTAAGTAAATGTGAGATTTTGGAATGTGATGTTATATGGTTATGTATTATGGCAGTGAAATTAGGATAGAGAAGATAATATCTTGAAACTTTTTCATAACTCTTCTTATTTGGCATTCATGAGCATTAGGATAGAGAAGATTATATCTTGAAACTCTTTCATAATGCATCAGTGAAATTAGGGTAGAGATTATATCTTTAAACCTTTTCATAACGCTTCTTATTTGGCATTCATGAGCAGCTATGTAATTCTGTACAATTTTCACAATAGTTATCATTTTCGTTACCAGTATATGGTATAACCACTGAAGAAAAAAAGCCATGGCGGAGGAAACGAAGATTTTGATTGACTTCTTAGCCAAGATAAGGGCTGAGATAAGAGCCAGATATCAAGAAATGAAGGCTGAGTTGAAAGCCTGCCTCGAAGAGATCAAAGCCATACTGAAGGAGATGAAAGCCATACAGGAGGAGAAGAACACCAGACGAGAAGAAATAAATGTCAGCCAAGAAAAGGTGCGCAAGCAACTCCTACAGTTGAAAATGGAGTTTTGGCAGTTGAAGAGATAAGGGATGAAGAAATGAATTAAGTAGCTAATGAACTGTCTTAGAAAGATCAGAAATGAAGGATGAAATATCTAACGAGGTTAAAAACAGAGATTGAAAAGCTGAAGAAATGAAAGACAGGAAAGAAGTTTTTGATTCTCATGTGTTTGAAGGAAAGATAGAAAGTGACCGTAGAGAGTGATAATGAAGTTACAAAGTCGCAGTTAGCAAGTATTGAACCATCTGAAAATTCATGTGACGCTGAGGTGGAAAAAGCTGATGTACAGCTTACGCAGAGTGCTCTAGTATTGTAAGAAAATTCACCCACTTCGCAAACTATATGTGCGTCTCATACTGTAGGTTGTGCAGACAAGGACTTGATTCTTAATCAGGATACTTCTGCTCGTAAAGAACTGGATTCTGTTCATAAATCTAATGCAAACATTGAAACTGGTTTTCAAGATGTACCAACTGCTAAAATTACTGAGAAGAACTGTACACACGATGGAAATAAACTAAAAAGTGATGAACGAACTGTTTTAGACCTTCCTGTGGTTGAAAAGTCTGAAAGGACTCAATCTTCAGACTGTGATCTGAAAAACAGGAATACACCTGAGATTTGAGGTGAAAAAGTGTTTGACCTGGGTATAAATTAATAAACAGACTGAGACTAAAATTTATTCAGAACTTTAATGTGTATAATTTAAAATTGTTATGTGTTTAATTTGTGTATGTAACTTGTACATAGTGTAAATATTTGTTTTTTTATTATGTTTTGGGTGTACCGAATTTGGCTTTTGACCAAGGGTTGTACTGCCCGGTATGTGCAGTCCTTGGGAAGGGGCAGTGTTATGAAATCTCAAGGTGTGGTAAGATGGCTTCCCCACAAAGCTGTTTTAGGGTTGCTATAAAAAAGCAAGGAAGGAAGGGTTGCCACATTTGGGAAGAAATCGCCCATTCGGCGACAAAATTGGTGATATGCCATGGACGGATGGAGAACCTTCTTGAACGAATTGTTATCGGTTTAGCCCAGAATGTTCTCGAACACAAGCTGAAAGCTATATAAACCCTGCTCGTCTGCAGTCAGTTGTTGTATGTGCCTCGTCTAGCAAGCTGATAGTCAGTCATTGAGCGAGTGTCTCGAAGTCTAGCACCGAGTTGGTCGTCGAGTGCATCGAGAGAGTCTTTTAGTGTATCGCGAATTAGTGCATCGAGTTTTGTCTTAGACTCTGCTGAGTTGAGAGCTATACTCTTGTGTATCATCGATCTGCGTGAGTTACTAGTCCGAGAGCCCAAGAGTGACACGAGAGACATGGTTCCGGCCGTGAAGCCGCGAACTCTACTTGGTGCCTGCACGACCAGAAGAGTGGAAACTGCAGCCTGGTGTCTCTGCAGTGTAGTTCTGAAATTGTGTTGCTGAACGTGTCAGCATGTTTATAACAGTTCGACGACTGCAAAAGGGATTTTGGAGCTATCTGATTAATATTGGTAAATAAAGTGTGTTTTTATACTTCATCAAGTGTCATTGTTATTCACTCCAAATCTACGAATCCCGTATGAACGTGAAGGAAAAAATAACGTAACCACTGAGAAGAAAAACGTAACAATATGTATGAACTTCTGTCAGTAGTATCTTTAGAAAGAAGTTAGGTATAACCTGATTATAATGTTTGAATTGAGTAGCTTTGATCTAAAAACACAAAGCTTCATTGAATTCTAAAGCACATATAAGTTCATTTAATTTTGAAAAATCAGATTTACAATTGTGCACAAACCTTTTAATCCATGCTGTAATAAGCAGTAGTCTACATAGTTTACTGAAATCACTGCCATTTAGAAATGGCAAAGGTAAGTTTCCACCACCTGAACTGGTTACTATGGAATTATTCAGCGGAACCCATCGCTCTTTCACTATAATATCTGTGTCACAAATACCATTAAGAATAGGTAACAAATTCCTGAATAGGCCACGAGTGAAGTGGTTGAGATAACTAGGCAGGTCTTGACCACTATAGAGAACTTGTCAAGATTTCCTAGCCAGTTCTCATCTGGCATTAAGCTCTGCACGATTTTTAGAGCCACTGCAATGGTTCCAGTGCTCTCGTAGAGTCAGTGACTGCATCTGAGCCACTCTGTTGGCTACAGATATTTTCCATTGTTTAGATGATTCTTTCAATCAATGAAGGACGATTTGAGAGTTGCTCCATAAAAAAATTTGTTTCACAAAATTTTGAAAGATCATTATAAATAACTTCTTAAATGTGCAGCGAGGAGGCTGCCAATAATTCTAATTTTGCAAGAGTCAAAATTTTTAGCAAGGGAACCTTACTTTTTGACATGATAAAGCTCACATTGATTTGGTTGTTGCAATTCACATACTTTAGGAATGCAACAATGCTTTGGACCTGGCATTGTAAAGCCTATGAAGAGACACATAATTTTAGACACAAAGTTATCTTTCAATAGAACTGATTCAAGTTTACGAAGTTCAGAACACTAAGTTTTCCATTTATTTTTGAAGTCACTTGGCCAATCTTTATCTCATTTTAGATCACATTCCGACATCTCTGTAGGAGAATTATCACTGTGGTTAAAAAAGGACTAATCATTCCACATGGATCATATGTTTTTAAAATAACTCTCATCAGGTGTTGCTATGTTATTCTAGCATCAGTGGAATCCCTAACATCTCTTAAGTCTGATTAATTTTATCCTCAATTGGATCCCACTTCAATCTCAAGAAACCTATCCCTTGCCTGAAATCAGTATTTTTCTCGTATACATTTTCACTCCAAATTTTATACAGTTCCGGGCAATTAATTTTTAATTTCCTTAAATGAAATTCCACTGCTTCCAATATCTCTAATGCCGTAGAGATCAACTGATAAAAATCCTGAGCAGTATTGGCTTTATGACACAGACCATCAACATAAAGAAAAGAATTTAACATTTCAGGTGATACTCTTTAAATTTTTTGCTCTGAAATTTCAAAACACAAGCAAGGAAAAATGCTGAAGTTATCAAACCAAATGGGAGACGATTTGAATGGAGAGTTTGGGTTGAATTCCGTGCTCCTTCTAGAAACCACAAAAAAATTGAAGGTATTTTGTATCTTCCTTCACAAGCTGTATCATAAAAAAAAAAAAGCTCCCTCTAAATGTCCACAAAATGCAACCTCATTTTCACAAAATTTAAGAAAATGTCCAATTAATTTACATAATGTTTAACTCTCGATTCTAGAAATTCATTTAAAGACTTATAATTTTCATTTGTTTTGCTGCTAGAGTGCTAGACAATTCTTAATTTTAATTCTATAACTAATCGAGATAAAATAAAACTTTCCATTGTCTAAAATAAGCCACTGTCATTGTGTAAATTAGGATTAGTTAAAACCAGTTTTTGTCTGGACATGCTCAAACTGTAGAAGCTGGTAAGGCCTTGTTTTTTGGTACAAATATTGCTATATGACACCAAAATATTTTCAGAACTTTTATTAAATTTAGATTATGAGTCATTCAAAGCAATTTTTGCTTTGTGCCTGCTTCTCACAATCTTTCATCGGGTTATTTTTTCTACAAACTGAGTCATGATGAAATTTGCTAAAATGTTTTACACACTAATTTTGCTTTACATTTCCGAAACATGGTAACTTTTAAAACAACACCAACTTTCAGTCTTGGTTATGTTTTATTCTACTTCTGACTGTGTTTGCAGGTTACAAAATCATTGGGGAACTAGCACAGAATAATTTTTTTTTTTTTTTTTTTATATAAATGTGTAGGTATTTAACATAGAAGCGGTTGATATATTTTTGGACTTTGAAAATTTTTTTTTAATTGACCACTATTTTGAGAAAAGGATCATTTTATTTCATGACTTTTTTTAGAGGGGGTGGGCTCATCACAATTTCAGGAATTTACATAG